GAATGCTAGTTCAACTTTGGCCGTTCCTGCAACTCGCTTTTGTGTAGTATCTATGTCACATGACAAATGGACTGAATTCAATTTCGGTTCCAAATTCCTCACCACTTTCTTCGCCTAATTGAGATCATGGGAAAACAGTATTCATAAAATCTTATCATTAAATTGGCTTTAGAAGTGGTTATAGAAAGTCTAGTTCATTAGAACTGAAATTACAGATTTCATTCTTGGTCACAAAATGAATCATGGTGGGAAAGATCATGCCTTGTGACAATGCCAAACAGATGATTACCCTAACATGACTAACAGTATAAAAGTTTTGTTATTATGTCTTCTCCATATTAGCACATCAAAATCTACATGTTCCATTTGTGAAACGCAGTTGCGCAACCTCATACACACAGTCTTCGGTAGTTACTACTGTCTACACCCAACAAGGTTGAACTTCAGTGGACACGTCTTCCCACTACCACTCGGGGAAGATTCCTCATCAAGCTAGTCATGGTTTCAATGAAATATTGTCATTGGAATGTTATTATTATTATTATACACGTTACATGAAGTCATATAATTCTATAATGATAGTGTTTGTGAACTTACATTTTCACAGTAACTATCCAAAATAGTCAAATAATTATGTAGTCCATCGTTTTTAATTCCCTCATTCCATTCTTTTACAAAAACAAAGAGGGTCGTTTGAACGATATCTGGAAGAAGAAATCAGCAATGAGGAATATGAAATGCAGACATAACATAATTTGATGATGTGGTTCATTATGAAAACTATCATGGCAATTTTTTTGGGCGAGAAATAAACATAATTCAGGATAATCCGATAGTGTCACTCAGTAAATAACACTACTCATGATGTAGGTCATTGGACAGTGGTGACAATCTCAACCACTCCCACAATAGTTTACCCTTTTTATTTTAGATAGAAATCGATTTCGTCTACCCTACATGACACAAGTTGAACATGGCTGAGTTGTTTGGTTCAATATTCAATCACTCATCAAGTGTTCACATAAGTGAGTAGTTACACAAACGAAATACAAATGTATAGATCAGATTCAAACATACACATTCACTTCAATTATTTTCAAATACACATGAAGAGCAAGGTGATGAATGAGTGGGTGATACAGCATTACTTTGATTGTTCAGCATAATCATTAACTTACCTGAATTCATCAAGTCTGTAGACTGAGCTGTCACTTCGTGTTCTTTTAATAATGTAAGGAAAACAATGAATGCGAATTATTGAGACAAAATAATCACTTGTCTTAAGATAGATTGCATCACTTTACGGACCAATAAATAAATTAAAGCCATGTGATGACTGTCTAATCAATGAGTGCATTAGACGTGACTCACTGGTCAGTGAAGAGAGGATATCTCATTTCGACAGGAAGTCAACCGCTGATCGAGTAGATTTGTGTTGATGTCTCAGATTGTGCAGCTGTGTGACGTAGGGCTTGTAGTGGAACGCTGCTTCAATAAAATACTCAAACATGGATTTATTTCGATATATATAACGAGATAATATGGAACATTTAGTGGTGATCATAGACGATCAGATATCTACCTGCTCACCACTAGAATTGGTGAGCAGACGTTTCTTCCATAGAAGTCAATTACGGTGAGTCTATTATTCATCTCTCACCATTTTTATAATGTTGCAATACTATTAAAAATGTCTTTAATATGTACTATACTTGCAACAACGTTTCGAAATGGTAGATAGCTATAATAATAGACTCCGAGATGCAGGTCATTGCATTTTCACCTGTCTCCTCCCCGTCACTTCATGTTGTTAGTTTATTTTACGTGCTCGATTTTCGCACTAACGCTAGGTACTTGGTGGCCACAAGTGCCCAAGTTTCTGTCGTATCGTTTGGTAGCAGTAAGTCATAAGCTACGATGCTTCGACCACGCGCTGCGAATGGCTCTGTCACGACAGCTAAAGATCAACCTGAATAATCGACGACAGTATCTATGGACGTTCATCCCTCCTGATGTTCCCATAGCCATACTCGGTATCGATTCATCACAGCACTATGAATTGCTATTCGATTCACATAGGCTGCGTTAATCGATACTTCGTCGAATATCAAATCCATGGGTTTCAACGCGCAAACAGATATGCAGCGAATCATCAATATGTATATTTTTCGCATTACTATTTATCTCATGTTATATTTGGCTAATTCCCCAAAGTAACGAAACCGAGGAGATTCAACTGGTGATTAATTATGTGCTAAGCCACATCGTATGTATTACTTCGTTTTTCTCACATTCCTTAAGACTCCTTTCTCCACTCGGTTCGCAGATAGATGGCATTCGTTAGAGACGAAATGGCGATTACGGAGCAGCAACGGCAGATATACAATGTTCCGCCTCCGAACTAGTATACGGGACGAAATTGCATCTGCCTAGGGGAATTTCTTCACACCACGGAGCAGCGATCTTATGTATATCAGATAGCGTCCGACGATTATCTGCGTAGATGCGAATACTGTCTCCGGTGTGAACTCGAATATAACATAGACAGGTCGCTCTCCCTCAAGAGTCATTTACCTGTCCGCAAGTTTTCTAACGAGTAGATTCGGTACTCAACAACCTTACGAAGGATCTTTTCACGTGATCTCTCGTCACGAAAAGACTTTCAAGGTTGATGAACAAAATCAGCATTGATCGTCTCATACCGGCACACGTCAATGACAGTGCCCTACCTGGTAAATCGAGATTTAATGCTGGACTCGTCCAACACACTAGCCAGATCTTAAATTTTTCTTCTGATCCCACGCTAGATGCATCGGAGACCTCCTTCTCACGTCCCGGTCAGCAGCACGTGTCGTCTGCCCTATCTACGGATGAGACTCCGGTCTCACGTCCAGATCAGCAGACCACGTCGCCCTTGACTTCCGCTGAGATTGCAGGCGCACGAGACTACCTTCTCGCGTTTCAGTCGCCGCGTACGCCTACCTATACGATTTCGTGACAAATATCCCAAACAACAACGAATACGCTATAGGACACTATCCTCATACAACATGTATGCTACACCTTTCTCTTTTTCCTTTATTTTGTTTCCTGAACCCAAGCCTCTGACCATTGCCCTATTGGTACCGTCGACTTCAGTCAACCGTGGCGAAAGCTTGCCTGATCACCCACTCTCTTTGTCAATGCACTCAGTCGATGTTCTGGTTACAAATATATCTTCTTTAGCACTGATCGTTATCATCGTTTCCGGCTCCTTCGCACAATCTGGTTCCGTCCTACGTCTGCAGCCTAATCTTGTCCGGACCCCTAAGAACGCAATCTTTAGACTCTGGATACGAGCCACGCTGGTGTGGCATGCCAATCCGATAGAAAAACTTGGCATGTCAACTCGAGCAGCAAACCTGGCACGATGTTGCTGGTACAGTTTAATGTAGAAGACTATCGGTGACAACACAAGCTCCATTGGTCGCTTCCTGTTCGTCAACCCTTCCGCACGACAAACAAATATTGGCCGACCACATCCTCCACCGAACGCATCAGCTATGTATCGAAAGTATGAACCGTTTCTAGGCCGATGCTACTGTCGGACTACTAAATGTGTGTCTGTGTTCCAGGACCCGTCGTAGTGTGAAGATGTGGTCTATACAGCCACGTCCAGGTCTGAAACCAGACTGGTTTTCGCGAGTCTGCTCTTCACGAGCTCTAGTTAGACGTCTAAGTATAATGGAGGCTAACAATTTCAAAACTGTATTAGTTAGACTTATTCCCCTGTGATTGTCACAAGAGGAATTTCGTCCTTTCTTGTAGATTGGGACAATTACCGACTGAGACCAGTCAGATGGGATTACGTCCAGTTCCCAGATTCTACCTAAGATCCCGGTCAGTCTAACTGTTAAAACTGGACCACCATCCTTAAATATCTCAGGGGTAAGCATATCAGGACCTGGTGCTCTACCTCCCTTCACACTTCCTATAGCTTTCTCAACTTCATGCAGACTAGGAGGACTTAAATTGATTTGCCATTCAGGATGACTGTAGATAGTGGGCGACCGAAGTGTGGATGAAGACCAGTTGAACTGGTCCGTAAAGTGTTCTGCCCATCGGTCCAATCTCCTGGATTGAGAACGAATGATACAGCCATATTTTTCTGAGATAGTCTCACTCACATTCGAGTTCCTAATAAGTCGGAAAAGTTGTCTAGCGTTGCCCATCGCCGCTGCCTCTTCTCTTGCTTTCGCTTAACTCAACCACCACCGTTCACGGTCGTTAAGTAGGCTTTTTATCAGTCCGCGCCTGAGATGACTTCGCCCACTTCCCGGCTGCCCACACCGTGGAAGGATTTTCTTCAGGAACCTGAAAAAGAAGGTAGACTAGTGTCGTTCTTAGAGACCTGGGAGCGTGACCGCAGAGCTCAGGGGATAACTGCATGAGGCTGGTCACGCACAGCCTTTTTATGGAGGGTTTTTTGAGCATTATCTCAGCTCTTGTAAGCCCTTAATGGGCACTTTTACCGCCGGAGACTGTAAGTGGTGAAATGTAAATGTAAATGTAGCGTAAAATGTCCAGAATGAATGAATGTAAACAAATGGATCCGAAATATGACTCACCAGGTGTTACTACCTCATCGCCATTTCCTATTGGTTCACTGGCTAAAGGCAGTGTGGTACGCTCTGGTATAAAATGATAGTGAGAGATTAGAAAAAACAAACCAAACAACATTAAACTGCTCAATGGAATAGTTTCACAGACATATCTGACAGACGGTTAAGTAATAGCATATTGCTGATATTAGCAGATTGATATGAGTAATCAGTAAATGATGTACTCAATTAATCAATATGAGAAAAAGGTTAGAAATAAGATGCACGAAATTATTCGAATTTACAGTATATATATTATGACAAAACAAATGATAACCTTAACGATAGATAAGAGATAGAGATCGAAATATGAACCAAAAACGAAAATTCAAAAAGAAAATGACAGAGTTTATTACTCACCTGAAGATTTATCTCCATCGTCAGTTTTAGTTGGAGTTTCAACTGGTGCCGGGATTACAGACAGTATAGCCTGCTCTGCTTCTACATTACAGAAACAGATGGAAAAATAGACGAGAGAAGAAAATGCAACAGGACAATGACAAATTTTACCACTCATGTCCGTCAAACCATTCACTGATCACCTATGGTTCACCGTTACTCATATGTGCGTGCATTTGTGCGTGTGTGGTTATGTATGTAAACATGTGATTGCATGGATGCTGATTGTGGTGACAGTTTGTTTCAGAGACACATGTTGGCTAATATTATGCGTGATATTGGAATTGTGATTTGTTGATCACATGATAGTGATGGACATGTCAGACACATTGACAAATCAGTGTGGCTGCACATAAATCATCGTGATGTGATTCAGTCAGTCAGTTGCTACGTAGAACTTTATACATAGGAAAGTATGTTTGTTTTGCCGTACCACATTATCGCAGATGTCAAATCGAATTTCGCAGTGATCAATATTTTAGAGATATTAATGGCGGTGAAGAGTGGTAAATTATGAAGATATTATTCCAGTAGTATATCTCTGTGATATAAATAAGAAAGACAAAGTTAGATGTTCTGACGATTCGAGAGAGCACAACGAATGGATGCACTTGTGCTATTGCAAACGATTCTGAGCCATGTCGTTCAAGATCTCTAAATATTGTTGACTTTCGTCTCACAGACTCCAACCAGATAGCCTAATTCTACCAACATGAATCAGTTCACTTGTCAGTGAACTTATGGATTTCTGTCATGTTTTGGTCAGGCCGCCCCTGGCGTTCTTCAAACATACTCCTACACCACAAAACATAGCTCGTTGAGGCAGTCGGTGGTTAGGCATTCGTAACACATGTCCCAACCACCTCTACCGATGAAGTTTCATCACTTCATCTATTGATCTGTTATCCCTACTTAGTGCTCGTTTCCTAACGACAGCAGTGCTTACTCGGTTGTCCCACGATATACGAGCAATGCTTCTAAAACATCAATGATCGAATACTAGCAACCTACGAACACCAACTACTCTTAATGGCGATGTTTCGCATCCATATAGGAGAATGGGGCGAACCGCTGTGCGGTACTCCCGTGTTTTGGTTAGCGAACGGATATCTCGCCTACGCAATAAGCGGCGTAATTTGGTAAAAGCGAATCCAGATTTCTGTATCCGCGCTGAGATTTCGTCAGTCACAAGGCTATCAGTGCTAATGTGACTCCCCAGATAAGTGAAGTGATCAACACTCTCGACTACTTCACACCCTATCACTAGATCAGGTACAGACATCCTTTTCTGAGATAGTCATACGCACATTCGCGTTCCTAATAAGGCGGAAACGTTGTATAGTGTCGCCTATCGCCGCTGCCTTTTCCATCGCTTTTGCTTTGGCCAACCACCACTGTTCGCGGTCTTTAAGTAGGCTTCATCCTAGCCTTTACCTTGCTAGCAGATATCACTGCAGTTTCCACAGACCTTTTCCATTTCATTCCAACCTGTCTCCGACTAGGAATCACTTACATGGTCGCCGAACTGTTTTTTTTCTAGTTCATCCTGAAATATTTTCTTCGCTTGAATGTCATTAAGTAAAGCCCTAAGAGTTTTACTTGCGATATTTTTCTGGCGTCCAGTAAGGCGCAAACAAATACGCGCTCGCACTAGAGCATGATCTGAATCTAATCATGTGCTCTAGAACGATTGACAGTCCTCTATCGAACCCCTTCATCGGTGGCTGAGGGCGATATGATCTAATCGAGTTCAACGTAGAGTCGACCCATCCAATTCAAATGATGAAGTTTCACCACTTCATCTATTGATCTGTTATCCCTACTTAGTGCTCGTTTCCTAACGACAGCAGTGCTTACTCGGTTGTCCCCAGATAAGTGAAGTGATCAACACTCTCGACTACTTCACTCCTTATCACTAGTTCAGGTGCCGATGCAACCCAATCTTGAAGCAACCTTTTGCATTTCGACGGGGAAAGCGCATCACGAACATGCTTGCATTGTTGCTCACGGTAGTCAGAAGAATGCATTTTGTCAGTGTCTTCACCGAACTGAACAATGTCAACGGCATATTATAAGTCCATAAGCGAGCCTCCTAGAAGTAGGTCTACTACTAAAAATTCTGACAAGCCTAATCTTAAATCTGAGAGGATGTCAATGACAAAGTTAAGCAAGAATGGATAGAGTGGACAGCCCTGATGGACACCACTTGATGCAGGTTAATGTATTCTTTGGTACACCTTTCAATGTCAGACACTGCCACTGAGACAAATGCCGCTTTTATGTCCAGGAACACATATATTGTCGGACGTCTAAATGTGTGTCTGTGTTCCAGGACCCGTCGTAAAGTGAAGGTGTGGTCTAAACAGGCAAGTCCAGGTCTGAAACCAGACTGGTTTTCTCAAGTCTTCACTTCACGAGCTCTAGTTAGACGTCTAAGTATAATGGAGGCTTACGATTTAGAAACTGCATTAGTTAGACTTATTCCCCTGTGATTGTCACAAGAGGAATTTTGTCCTTTCTTGTAGATTGGGACAATTAGCGACTGAGGCCAGTCAGATGGGATTACGTCCAGTTCCCAGATTCTACCTAAGATCTCGGTCAGTCTAACTGTTAAAACTGAACCACCATGTTTAAACATCACAGGGGTAAGCATATCAGGACCTGGTGCTCTACCTCCCTTCACACTTCCTATAGCTTTCTCAACTTCGATTTGGTGAATTACTCGTCTTTTCTACATATTCACAAATCTTACTACATTCATTGAAGCACTATTGCACTATGTCTGTCATAGGCGACATTGATAACTGTGTTAGTCACCTGTCACGTCGTTCTGATAGCGTCATGTTGATCGAACTGTGTGAAGGTCGCATCAGTAAATTGTATACGATGTAGCCGATTATTCAATGTGTGTAGTAACTTGGGCGCGTGATGTGAATGATTTTTGCCAGTTAACCTGCATATATTTTGACTCTGATAAATGCCTAAATTTCCATGGTATTTCGTACCTTTATTACGCATTGAATTTTAATCACAGGCACTGTTAATTTGTTTAGAACTATTCGACATCGTCAGTGAACTAGTACACGTTGATTGTCTCTTTTATTTGCTTTAGAAACTGTATCATGTTGTTTCTAGTGTTTTGATCATGATTTCGAATACATTCAAAACCAATATTGGCTTATGAATTCTGTGTGTTAAAGTATAAATATCCAGATGGAATCGATCATCTGAAGTATTTTGTGTTTCATTGTTTTTGGTTGCAATTTCTTTTTGTTCTTTCAGTGCAGGCAGTTCAGTACGTCCTGCAAATACACGGCAGGTATATATTGAAAAATGAACCAGATATGAAAATTCAACCGGACAATTACACAGTTCAACATTCACGTCCGTCAAACCATTTACCGATCACCTTTTTTTCACCGTTGCTCGTATATGCGTACATGTGTGCGCGTGTGGTTATGTTTTTTGATTTGCGATTACATATTTCGATAGTATCCATTGGTTGTTGGAAGATTGATGCGGCACTCTTAACTGCGTAAGGCATACGGTTGTACTGGAACAAAGCACGATGCGTATTGATATTAAGCAGCTCTTTTCATGCTTCATCTACTTCCACTTGCAAATAAACATCAGCTAGATCGTGCTTTGCGATAAACTTTCCCTCATTCAGTATAGTAAACAGATCTGCGGGGACGGGCAGCGGATAGTGATGCTGTTCCAGAGCTTTATTGGGACCTGTAGAGAAGTCAGCACATATACGTATCGTCCAGTTGGCCTTCTTGGTAACGACTACAAGTGCTGCCCAACTGGAGTAAGAAACGGGAGTAATAACTCCTTGTCGTTGAAGGCGATTCAAATCTTCATCTACTGTTGCTAATGTTGCATAAGGCACGGGTCTCTTTGGAAGAAAAGCAGGCTTAGCCCAAGGTTTCAACGAAAGTATTACTTTCATGGCAGTGCACCGACCTAATCCAGGTTCAAAAATGATTGGAAACTCCGTCATCAGCTTCTTCGTATATCATTCAGGGTCATGAGGTTGTGATACCAGGTGGCACATGGTATTTAACGGGGCATCAGCTAATTTTAGCTGGTCGAACCAACCTAAACGAAGTAAATTTAGATCAGGTGGCGTTATATAACATACCCCAGTAAATGATGAGTCTCGGAAGGAAAATTTACATTCCAATCGTCCTAACAGACGAAGGTAATTACCACATGCTGTACGAGGCTTCTGTTTTGTGTGATGCAGGTCCAATTATTGCGTGAGAGGATGGTGACATCAGATGCGGTATCTATTTACAATCTACACAAATGCCCGTTAATATTAGGAGTAATAAATTTCCTCTCACCTGGTGATGAGCTTTGACAAGAAGATATTAGGCTCAATGCATTGGTACCGGATCTAAGAACAGAATTCTTAGCACTTCTGGATCGGTTCGGCTTTCTCTTTAGGCAAAAACCATCTTTATGACCGATGACTTTACACTTCCTGCATCTGTGTTTCCTAGATGGGCAGTTCCGTACATAGTGCCATGAGACTCAGTGTCAGCAAGCAGGAGAGGGATTCATTTTTGACTTTCGGGCAGAGCTGGAGTTTGGCATGAACTGGGTATAGCATGAGCAGATTTATTCTGATTAAGTGGCTGCTGTACCAAATATACTTCAGATCAGCTTGAACTACCACTCTGCACTATAGTTGAGTCTCGTTGTACGTTGATGAGACGTTGGTACTCATTAGCCATGTCATTAGGGTGAGCTTCGGATCAAGCTCTAATCAACATAGTAGCCTTGTTCTAATGTGACTGAACTTATGAGACTGCAGGCTGCAGATGAGTATAAGGGCTTTAAACTGATCTTCCGACAAAGTCTTCAAACGAAAGCGTTCTAATTCACGGTTGACGATGACCACGTGCTTAAGAAAATCATCATCTTCGTTTATAATTAGCTTCAAACATCGATAACGAGTAATAAATAGTGACAAGTTGTCGCCAGAGTGTTGGTTGAAAGTCTGAACTGTCTCAGAAAATGAACGATCTCAGGGGTTCAAAGGCAGGATCAAATTGCAGTACTTGTCCAGCTCACGTGCACCCAACGTTCGAAGTAGCAGCCGAACCTTCCAAGCATCATCTTGGTTGGCTAAATCAAATTTAAATAAATCTTCATAACGCCAGAACCACATATCAAACGTAACATTCGCATCAGGATCATAATGAAATTCAGCTATGCTAATTGTGATGCCGTCGACCGATGGAGTTGTGGTTGCATTAGATAAGCTGGGCTATGTGGAAGGGGAAATCTTCATGTATGTCAACATCTGCATCAGTTTCACCTGCCGCTCAAGTAATAATTCAATTTTGGCAGGATCCACGTTTCCAAAACCACCGTCGTCACTGTTATGTTCGTCACTAGGTACGCTTGGAGAAATTACCAGTTCACCTTAGTCGAGAAACGCGAACGAGACTTTTACCAGCGTCCAGGTAGGCTACCTTGAATACCAAACTGCAAAACACAAGACTTGGTAGGCGTAGAAAGTACCTTCTACAACACCCAGCAATCACAATACAATCAAACACACAACTCTCGTTTAAATATACATCATAGAAAGGTCCTTGGGACAGTTACGAAAATAGCACACTAAAATACACAGCAGCCAATCACAGCCATGGATTTTTCTGATGGGAAATGAAGTCTGAAGGTTAACTGATCAGCCCATGCTGGCAAACGGGAAATAGGAAATAAGGCATTTATCAAACGAGTTCTGTGGATACAACATCCCCAACACTCCGCCCATTTTTATTAGCGTGTTCTCCTGGGGTACACTTGCATCTTGACTGTCGTTCGCCGCCGTCTGAGAGGATACCTTCCGGGACGAAGAACAGCTTGCTGCTGAGTTTCTTCTCGTGGCGAGACTGCTTTTAGGTTGAAGGTATCAAGCTGGATGTCAAATGGAAGGTTTTCGGCTGTTGATGGGCAATCTGGGGCTAGCCGTCTGCGCATCTGATTTCGATGACGTGACCACTTATCACCTCCTACCTCTGCTTCGTATATAACTCGTCAAACTCTTCTGACCACTCTCGCTTCTTCCCAAGGACCATGGTTCGTTCTGTAGTCGCATGCAACCACAAGGCATTCCAATTAGTAAGCGGATTGTATTTGCGGCTTTCTCTCAACTGATATTGTTGCATGAGTTGGATGCATCAGGGTGTAGATCGATTTCAAAATTTTTCCCATCAGAATTTCTGCTATGCACTTTTGCCGCGAAAACAACTCCTTTGGTGTTGTCCAAGAAACGTACAAGAAATAATGAAAGGCGTCGGCTGATGACCAATCCCCGACTCGGCAATTAAATTACTCGCATTTATTACTGCTTAAACTTCTGTCACAGACATTGTCAACTTGCTTACAACAATTTGACATATTCAGTGAACTAGTAGTACACGTTTATTGTCGTTTGTATTTGCTTCGGAAAGTGTAATGTGTTGTTTCTAACGTTTTGATCATGATCGTGAGTACATTCGAAATTGTTATCATGGCTAACATTATCTTCGTGTTAAAGTGGGAATGTCTGGACAGCATCACTCACCTGAAGTTTCTTCAGCATCGTCGGTTCTGGTTGTAGTTTCGGTTGGTTCCTTTAATCCAAGCAGTGCACCAGGACCTGCAATTATATGACAGAAAGTGATTTGTCAATACACAGGAGAGGAAAATTCAACAGTAGAGTGACACAATTTAACACTCATGTCAGTCAAACCATTCACTGAGCACCTATTATCTGTCGAACGAATCTGATCTATCCAGGAGGAATAGAACATCATTTAGTTGAATAATTGAACAATTGTTGGTGGAAAAGCTGTGGTAATATTGTTTAGTCGTGAGTACATTGGAAATTGTTATCATGGCTAACATTATGTTTGCGATAATGTCGTAATGACAGGACGGCATCACTCACCTGAAGTTTTCTCTTCATCGGCAGTTTTGTTTGCTATTTCGATTGTTTCTTTCGCTTCTCGCAGTTCATTAAAGTCTGCAATTACATGACAGAAAGAGACTTGTAAATCCACAGTAGAAGAAAATTCAACAGGACAATGTCACAGTTTACCACTCATATCCGTCAAACCATTCACCAAGTTTATTGCCGTTTGTAGTTACTATGGAAATTGTAACGTGTTGTTTCTAACGTTTCGATCATGATTGTGAGTACATTCGAAATTGTTATCATGGCTAACATTATATTGCGTTAAAGTAGGAATGTCTGAACAGCATCACTCACCTGACATTTCTTCATCATCGTCGGTTTTGGTTGCAGTTTCAGTTGGTTCCGGGATTGCAAACAGTATAGCCTGCTCTGCTTCTACATTACAGAAGCAGATTGAAAAATGAACGAGAGAAGAAAATTCAACAGGACAATGACACAGTTTAACACTCACAAACGTCAAAACATTCACTGATCACCTATTGTTCACCGTTACTCATATGTGCGTGCATGCGTGCGCGTGTGGTTATGTGCATGCAACTGAAATACACGGCTTCATCCAAGCCTTATTGTTTATCTTGCTAGAGGATATTACTGCTGTTTCGACAGCTTCCTTGATATCATTCCAACCTGTCTCCGGATGGGAATCACTTGCATGGTCGCATATTTGCTTTTCTGGTCCCTGTGAAATATTTTCTTAGCTTGATTATCATTAAGTAAAGCTTTAAGAGGTGTACTTGCAATATTTTTCTGACGTCCAATAAGGCGCAAAGTAGGAAGAAGTAGGAAGGATTTGATTTTGACCAATTTGGTCTCGTGTGCTGTTACAGTTATGATGGTGGTTCTCACTTCCCGGCTACCCGAACGGTGTAAGGGTGTTTCTTGAAGAACCTGAAAAGGAAGGTAGACTAGTGTCGCTCTTAGCGACCTGGGAGACCTGGTTAAATGTCCAGAGTGAGTGAATATAAACAAATGGACCAGAAATATGACTCACCAGGTGTTACTACGTCATTGCCATTTCCATTTGGTTCACTTGTTAAAGGCGTGGTGATACGCCCTGGAATAAAATGATAGTGAGAGATTGGAAAAAAGAAACCAAACAATATTAAGCAGCTCAATGGAATACTTTCACAGACATATCTGACAGACGGTTAAGTAATAGCATATTGCTGATATTAGCAGATTGATATGAGTAATCAGTAAATGATGTACACAATTAATCAATATGAGAAATAAGTTAGAAATAAGATGCACGAAATTATTCGAATTTACAGTATATATATTATGACAAAACAAATGATAACCTTAACGATAGATAAGAGATAGAGATCGAAATATGAACCAAAAACGAAAATTCAAAAAGAAAATGACAGAGTTTATTACTCACCTATAAAGCTATCTTCATCGTCAGTTTTAGTGGGAGTTTCAACTGGTGCTGGGATTACAGACAGTATAGACTGCGCTGCTTCTAGAATACAGAAACGGATTAAGAAATGAACGAGAGAGAAAAAATGCAACGAGACAATGACACAGCTAATCAATCACGTCCGTCAAACCATTCACTGATCTACCTATTGTTCACCGTTACTCAGATGTACGTGCATGTGTGTGCGTGTGTGGATACGTGTGCATACATGCGATTGCATGGATGCCCATTGTGATGACAGTTTGTTCCAGAGAAACATGTTGGTTATTATTATGCGTGATATTGGAATTGTGATTTGTTGATCACATGATAGCGATGGACATGCCACACGCATTGAGAAATCAGTGTGGCTGCACACGAATCATCGTCATCTGATTAAGTCAGTGGGTTGCTACGTAGAACTTCGTACATATGTACATATTTTCGTGTTGCTTACCAGATTATTACAGAAATACAAATGTCAAATCAAATCCCACAGTGATAATTACATTAGAGATATTAATGGCGATGAAGAATGATAGGGTTTGAAGATATTCAAGAAGTATAATTCAATGAGATAAGTTTAGCAAGTCAAAAATAGAGGTGCTAACGAATCGAGAAGATTAGGATTTGAGAGAGCTCAAAGAATGGATTCACTTGCGCCATTGCAAACGATTCTGCGCCATGTCATTCAAGGTCTCTAACAATCGATTATTTTCATCTTGCCGTCCCCAACCAAGTAGTCGACATCTACCAACATGACTCAGTCCACTTATCAGTGACTTCATGCAGTTCCGTCATGTTTTGGTCAGCCCGCCCCTAGCTTTCTTCAAACATACTCCCACATCACAGAACATAGATCGTTGAGGCAGTCGGTGGTCAGGCATTCGTAACAAATGTCCCAACCACCTCAACTGATGAAGTTTCACCACTTCATCTATTGATCTGCCATCCTTACCTAGAACTCGTTTCCTAACGACAGCATTGCTTACTCGGTTGTCCCACGATATACGAGCAATGGTTCTAAGACACCTATGATCGAAAACTTGTAACTGACGAACATCGTCAACTTTTAAAGTCTATGTTTCGCATCAGAATAGGTGAACGGACATCTCGGCCGCGCCATAAACGGTGTAAACTGAAAAAAATAGAGCTCTCTGTATCCGAGCTGAGATTTCGTCAGTCACCAGACCGTCAGCACTGATGTGACTCCCCAGATAAATGAAGTGATCAACACTCTCGACTACTTCACTCCTTATCACTAGTTCAGGTGCCGATGCAACCCAATCCTGAAGCAAAATTTTGCATTACGACGGGGAAAGCGCATCACGAACATGCTTGCATTGTTGCTAACAGTAGTCAAAAGACTCCGCATCTTGTCAGCGTCGTCACCGAATGGAACTATGTCAACGGCATATTCTAGATCAGTAAGCGACGTTCCTGGTAGAAGGTCAACCCCTGAAAATTCTGACAAGCTTAATGTTAACTCCAACAGGACGTCTACGACAAAGTTGAACAAGAATGGATAGAGTGGCCAACCCTCACTGACACCACTTGATGCAGAGAATTCAGATGACAGTTCGGCATAGGTTCTAACTCAACTAGTGATGTTCGGGTAGAGAGCTTGTATAAGATTAATGTACTACTTTGGTACACCTTTCAATGTCAGACACTACCACAGAACCTCACGATCCAATGAGACAAATGCCGCTTTTATGTCCAGGAACACAAATATTTTTGGACGTCTAAATGTGTGTCTGTGCTCCAGGACCTGTCGTAGTGTGAAGATGTGGTCTATACAGCCACGTCCAGGTCTGAAACCAGACTAGTTTTCGCGAGTCTGCTCTTCACGAGCTCTAGTTAGACGTCTAAGTATAATGGAGGCTAACAATTTCAAAACTGCATTAGTAAGACTTATTCCCCTGTGACTGTCACAAGTGGAATTTTGTCCTTTCTTGTAGATTGGGACAATTACCGACTGAGGCCAGTCAGATGGGATTACGTCCAGTTCCCAGAATCTACCTAAGATCCCGGTCAGTCTAACTGTTAAAACTGGACTACTATCCTCAAATATCTCAGGTGTAAGCATATCAGGACCTGGTGCTCTACCTCCCTTCACACTTCCTATAGCTTTCTCAACTTCATGCAGACTAGGAGGACTTAAATCGATTTGCCATTCAGGATGACTGTAGGTAGTGGCCGACCGAAGTGAGGATGAAGACCAGTAGAACTGGTCCGTGAAGTGTTCTGCACATCGGTCCAATCTCCAGGAATGACAATGAATGATACAGTCATTCTTATCTGAAATAGGCTCACGCACATTCGAGTTCCTAATAAGTCGGAAAGGTTGTCTAGCGTTGCCCATCGCCGCTGCCTCTTCTCTTGCTTTCGCTTAACTCAACCACCACCGTTCACGGTCATTAAGTAGGCTTTTTATCAGTCTGCGCCTAAGATGACTTCGCTCTTCGTCATGTTCACAGCCAGGTGGGATGCGTTTACATTATATTTGTGGTAAAGTAGGTCTGTCTGAATGGCATCACTCACCTGAATTTTCTTCATCATCGTCGCTTCTGTTTGGAGTTTCAACTGGTGCCGGGATTAAAGACAAAATGGCCTGCTCTGCTTCTACATAACAGATGCAGATTGAAAAAGGAACGAGAGAAGAAAATTCAACTGGACAGTGACACATTTTACCACTCATGTCTGTCAAACCATTCACTGATCACCTATTGTTCACCGTTACCCGGATGTGCGTGCATGTGTGCGTGTGTGGTTATGTG